TGAACCACCAAGTTTAAAATTTTGCCAATTGTTCTGATGCTGGTTCTACAGTACTGAAATGAGGATTTTTTTGGGGGGGAAGGGAAATATCTCTAAATACAAATGAAAAGAAGGTATAAATTTTCACATAAAGCTGGAGTAGCACTTTATCAGAAACACGAATCTGCTGCTTCAAATGGCATCCCTGCGTTGAGTTTTCCCTCCAGCCCACATGTGTGTAATAACACTTACTCTATGACATCACATATATTTCTTCACCCTGCTGATGGTAACTAATGATGTGCAGCAGAGGACCTGGGAACGACTTACTATGATGTTGCATCATGTGGTAATTGTGACATTATTTGGGGGAGCGGTTAGGCAACATGGTGGCTGCTTTGTGTCGCTTGTATGTCTGCACCCAAAGAAATGCCTCTTAACCAAGAAAGCTTGGTATGAAACAGTTGCTTTTATGTATCTGCATGTAAGCATTAGTAAGAAATGGAAATCCATTCCCATCAAGAAGTGATTTAGTATGTCTAATTAAAATTTCCATCTTGCTAAGCGTGCTGCCGCGAAACTATTTTTAAAGTAATATGCAATACACTATTTGGGAGACACTAAATGAACTGAGGCTATTGAATAATTCTCTTCTAATTACTTCATTTGCATCCCCTTTTAGATATTCAATTGATCGTCACACTGACCTCGACAGATATTTCAGTATCAGCTCAGAAAATGGTTCAATTATGACCATTAAAAAACTAGATAGAGAAGAAATAGCCTGGCATAATATTTCAATACTTGCAGCTGAAATCCGTGAGTATCTGAAGAAGTGAGCAGTGACTCACAAAAGCTCATACCCTACCATAATTTTTTTTAGTCTTTCAGGTGCTACTGGACTCTTACTCTTTTCTACTGTTACAGACAAACACAGCTACCCATCTTGATCCAACTGAAAATTAGAGCTTTTAAATCAGGGGTGTCAAACATGTGGCCCGGGGGCCAGATCAGGCCCCCCAGAGGGCTTCTATCAGGCCCACAGTGGAACTGGCTGTCTTCTGCTTCTGCTTCCAGTTCTGCTGCTGCTGCATCATTGTAGGCTTGCAGCTTACAGATACAGACCTGAACAGAATACTCAAGGTTGCAGCAGCTCAGACATTTTGATGCAATAATTCAGAGCAAGTGGTGTCAGTTATCAGACACTGTCAATTAAAGAAAATACTGCATGACTGCTAATGTTTTAAGCATGTTTTTTATTTTAAGTAAAAAAAACCCTTTGTGTTTGTGTCCTTTATAAAGTTTATATCTCCACTACCTGGCATTACATTTTATGACACACATGGCCCGGCCCAACAAGGTCTCATTTATGTCAGATCCAGCCCTCATAACAAATGAGTTTGACATCCCTGTTTTAAATAATATAATAAAATATATTGGTGTAAAATATTGGTGCCATAAAAGGCAACACACAGAAAGCTTACGCAGCTATGTTTAGTCTGACCCAAAATTGCCTTAAGTACATGGTAAGAACCATGCAGGTCTGGAAAACCCCGAAGTATATCCTGACATTACAGATATTAGGTCTACAACTTTGCCTATTGAGGAGACCTGGGCTCCTAAATGATGCAGGTTACTGGCAGATGCTATCCACAATACACCTGGACTAACAACCAGAATCTCATAGCCCTGGACAGAAATACACAAATCATCCTGAGATATTTCAGTGGTCTCATTGAAAGAAGTTTCCTTCCTTTACAATGCCTTTTTCCCCCTGAGCAGAAACCTCCAAATTCACCCCAGTACTTCACTTTTAGGCAAAATTCAGTAGTATCTCTATCTGGCTGAGGAGGAAGAGAAAGATAAGGATCCAAAACTCTTCCCCTTGTGCCCATAGATGGGGACAGTATCCAGCTAAGTTGGTTTATCATGTGGATGACTGCAGCTCCCCAAGAAGCTGGACAAATACCACCTAATATAGTCTTCTCTAACCTTGTTGAATCTGTGGCTATCTTTTGAATTTTGAAAAAGTAGTGGGTGCCACAACAAAATGGCTGCCAGGAGGGCTAGGGCGAGTCACAAATATTGGAGGGGGTGTTCCAAGCTAAGCATCCTTCTATGATTGAGACATCTGTTTCTGAATGTTTTGTGTAGTGGTTAGGTGCGTGAACTCTAATCTGGGAGAGCCGGGTTTGATTCCCCACTCCTCCACTTGCACTTGGCTGGATGACCTTGGGCAAGCCATAGTTCTGATAAGAGCTGTTCTTGAAAAAGAGCAGTTTCTGTCAAGAGCTCTCTCAGCCCCACCTACCTCACAGGATGTCTGTTGTGGGGAGGGGAAGGGAAAAGGAGTTTGTAAGCCGCTCTGAGACACCTTTGCATAGTGAAGGGCGGGGTATAAATCCAATCTCTTCTTCTCTTCTTCTTCTTCCTTGAAGATACAAAGGTCTCTAGGGCTTTTCTGAAGCACTTCCTGCTTTCATTTGCTTGACTGTAAGATTGTGTTTTCACATCTGGTCACTGGAACAGTTTCAAATTAATATTATTTCATAAATGGGAGGCCAGAAAGGTCAGGAGGTAGAAAATATTACCATTCACATAGCTCAAGAAACCATGTCAAAACAGGAAGATAACAGACTGTCCATGGCCAAGTTCAGACTGGCAGTTTGCCCTGATATAGGCACGTGTGAGAAATGTTTCACAAGTGGATTAAAGGGGCCGTTCCCACAGGCACATCTGTCTGGCATTCCTCACCCATACCCAACCCGTCTTGTAGTGCTTGTCTCCCGGGTTTAAAAGATACTTGGTGAAAGTGGTAGCAAATCCTGGAGAGCCTGTTTATCCCGCTTCATTCCACTTCCTGGAAGTGTGAACGCTAACCGCTAAAAGCTGGGAACAGCCCGCGTTAATAATGTGCGCTGGCTGTTTACACTGACTGACCTCCTAGCCACACTATGGCACCAGGAAGGTGCAGGTGATTGCCTTGAAGAGGGGGTAGTGATGTGGCCGGATGTGCCTATGGCCCACAGCAGCCGGATCCTGCCCTGTTTGTCACAGCGCCTAGGCACCCATGCGCATAGGTGTCTGCTGCAAGGAAAACGCCACTTACAGCCGCGCCTCCATGCCAACAGTGTGAACGCTCCCTCGCACCTCCTCCCGGTATGCTCCCGCCTCAGTCCGCGCAGTGTGACCAGGAAAACCCAGAACAGTTTGTTCCGGCTCTTTTTTGCAACAACCCCTTCCCGCTTCAAACTGCCAGTCTGAACTCGGCCCATGAGTGCCATCAGTGATAATTCTGACAAAATAAAAGCATACGTTTCTAAGTTCTTCCTTTCATTTTTCCCCCCATGTTGCTGTGGCATTCACCTCCATAACTGTTGTAGATAACCGGCATCAGGAAGCTAAAGTTCCAGTAGCGATCAAAGTCCGCGACCTAAATGACAATGCTCCAAAATTCTCAGATGCATATGAAACCACCGTCTGCGAAAGGCGTCAGAGCAATGAGGTAACCTTTTAGGGATGCCAGGTCCAATCGTCGTGCCAGCAGGGAGATTGGGAGGGGCATTCCAGGAGTGGGTGGGGATGTCGTGTGACATGCACGCATCCCCCGGGAGTGACATGGCCACACCGGTGATGTCAGGGACAGCACTCTGGTTTTAGGGCAAAACTATGGTAAAATCACCCTCAAACCATAGAGTTTTGCTCAAAAACCAGTGTCACCCCCCAATGTCACTGACACGCCTACGTCACTTCCAGGTGATGTCAGTGCATCGCACATGACATTGCTATTTTTTTTGGGGGGGGATTTCCTCCCAACAGCTAGCTGGCCACTGGCAGGCAGGAGCGCACAAAAGCGGGGGATTCTTTGTTCTGGCCTGGGGAATGGTAACTCCATAACCTTTACCAAACATGTCTGTCTTCTGGGCAGGAAAGAGAAGTTGGGACAATGCTAAACATCTCAAAATATGTTCTCAATAGTTGTGTGTGTGTGTGTGTTTGAAATACAAAAGCCACTGTGAGATGGCATTTTTTTTTAAGAACTTGAATTTGGGATATACTCTATATTTTAAGATTTGGGATCGCTTCCCACTGCTACAGGACATATTTTGGGAAGAGCTTGTATAACCTCAGTGGGGCAGAATTTGGAATAAACCTTGCAATAATTCAAAGAGAATAAAACTTTGTTACTTTTAATTCAACATCATATGTAACAAAAATCATAGATCTTAGTAACACAACAGAACAGTGATCTTTTAAAGTCCAGACAATTAACTTTTCCCTCCTTTACAGTTTGCCATCCCAAAGTCCATCTCTTTCTTCTTATTGGTGGCCAAAGAAGTCTCCAGTTGAACCCTCTGTGCACTAGCTTCCAAGATGAGGGTCCCAAATGAATTCCCCATTAGATAACACAGCCCTGAAACAATAATTCTAAAATTACAATTTAGAACAAATTACCGCTTCCCATACATAAATCATAGTTACCTTAAACAAGGTTTTAAGACCTATGATTAAGGTTTAACCTCCCTAGCAGGGCAGGCTTGTTTCCCTCCTCTGCTTCCCACACATACTGCACCCTTCTGCATCCAGAGGCTCCGCCCCTTCCTGATTCATTCCATTACTATATAGAGGTTACACTTGCTGTCAAGTTTTTCAGGGGGGTGGTGGCTAAAGGCAGGGCTTTTTCAGTAGTGGCACCTTTGCTGTGGAGGTACCTATGCGACTCTCTTTTAAGTGCCAGGCCGGTTTGTGTGTGCGCGTGCGTGCATGCTCAGGCATTTAATTAAGGGGTTTGCTCTGTTAGCATGTTTATAGCTTGCTTTTAACCTGTCAATCTATGCTGCTCAACATTTTATGCTCAGTCAGGTTTTTTTTTAATGCTGGGATTTAATTGTTAACTTTTATGGTTTTTTTAATGTTTTATTTTGTAAGCTGCCTCTGACAGGTTCCTTGGAGAGGCAGCATAGACATTTTGTGAATAATATGCTGATCCAGTGAGGAAATAAAATTCTGACCCTCAAAATACAACCCTATGAATGTTCAGTCAAAACATGAAAGGGGGGAACAGGATAAGTGGGGACCCCCCCCACACACACACACCTCTATGTAATCATCAGCTCATGAGAATGCTTCATTTATATTCTCCCTCCCCAAGCTCCACAGCCAAATCTCCAGGCTGGCAACCCCAGACTGACAGTTTATCGTTTGCATGAAATTAAACAATGTTCCCTTGTATGTAACTTTTAGGAATCCATTTACAAAAAAAAAAGGTGAAACTCTTAAAAAATGTGCTAGGTGCTTACAAATGCCTTTATTTTACAGCCATTAATTACAATTACTGCAGAGGACAAGGATGATACAGCCAATGGCCCAAGATTTATCTTCAGTTTGCCGCCTGAAATTATCCATAATCCTAATTTTACTCTCCGAGATAACCGAGGTTTGTACTAAGAGTCACTGTACCAGATGGAAGCGAACTAAATGTCTGTTATCATGTCATAGAAAAATAGTTTCATTAGCTGTGCAAGACTGGCTGGGGCTGAAAGAGGCAAAAGATGCAAGTGAAGATCGGAGGCATTCGTTAAATGCGTGCTCTCCAGCCTTTGTTTTCGTAGATAAATCCATGTACAGTATAAAATCTATATGAGAAATGCACTGCTATGGCTTGCATGGGTAGGGAAAAACAATAATTCAGGTCATTATGCTTCATTGAACCTCAGTGGCCAGTGGCCACCACAATTTTGGGAACTCGACACATCAGCTCTTGAGTTGGACTGGATGAAAGGGAGGCAAAGCATTCTTTTGCTCTGCTTGTTCCTTTCATACTGTGGGGGAACTGGGAGAATTTGTGGGTGAAGAATTACCAAGAACTAAGGACTGAGGCAGAGTTCTGCCTCAACAAGAATCCAGGCTGGAGTTTACAGAAACTCATTGAGGAAGAAATCTTTTAACCGGGCAGCTTCTCCTTCTATTACTAACATTGCCAACCTCCAGGTGGTGGCTGGAGGTCTCCTGGATTATAACTGATCTCCAGGTGGCAAAGATCAGTTCACCTGGAGAAAATGGCCACTTCGGAAGGCAGACTCTGTGGCATTATACCCCACTGAAATCACTCTCCTCCCTAAATCCCACTCTTCTCAAGCTCCACCTCCAAAATCTCCAGGTGTTTCCCAAGACAGAGATATTTATTACTTTTTTATCGTACCCTTCCTCTAGAGAACACAGGTGCATACCATATTCATCCCTCCTTCATTTTATCCTTGTGAGGCAGTTTAGGCTGAGGGGGAAGGAGAGAGATGATTGGCCCAAGGTCATCCAATTAACTTCATGTCTGAGGGAAATTTTTAATCTAGATTAGTCCAGTAACCCTAGTCTCATATGGTAATCATTGGCTTGTTGGCAAATTCATGTTTGAGTGAGGATTTCAATGTACATCTATCTAGTTCTATAACTGCTTCCAGTTTTGAGGTCATAGGGTGCTACGAGTCTGAGCTCTGTCCTTGGGGCATTTTATTTATATTTTATTCTATTTTATTTTGGTGTTTCATCCTCATCTGTTTGGGTTTTGTTTTCTGTTTAATTCAACCTTGATGCGCTTGGTTTTTAGTCTTATAGACTCAGGGTGCAGTCAGGCTGGGAGTGGTTTAAATTGCTCCGGTCCCGATGTTTTTTTTTTTTTAACCTGGAGAATCGGGATCACACTCACCTCCTTGTTCCGGATCCCTGTGCAGCCACATCGCCCCCCCCCCC